CTGGGCCTAAGTCCTTCATGTCAAATTCTTTTGACAACTGCATCTTTAATTTTCTGATGTCTTTCATATCTGATCCTGCTACTAAAATGTCATCGACATAAAGTAGCAATATGATATAGCTGGACTCATATTTCTTGAAGAAACAGCAGTGATCAGCATTGCACTTCTGGAAACCTTCCTTGTGCATGAAGCTTTCAAACTTCCTATACCACTGTCTTGGAGCTTGTTTCAGGCCGTACAAGCTCTTCTTCAATTTGCACACCATATTCTTCTTTCCTTCTGAAAAACCTTCAGGTTGGTGCATATAGATCTCCTCATCCAGGTCTCCGTGAAGAAATGCAGTCTTCACGTCTAATTGCTCTAGATAGAGCTCTTCACTAGCCACAATACTTAACACAGTCTTGATAGTATTGATCTTTACAACTGGAGCAAAGATTTCAGTATAGTCAACTCCTTCTTTCTGCTGAAATCCTTTGACAACCAGTCGGGCTTTGTATCTCCTGGAACCATCATGGTCTTCCTTCACCCGATACACCCATTTGTTGTGAAGTGCTTTCTTTCCCATAGGTAACTTGACTAGTTCCCATGTCTGATTTGAGATCAAGGACTTCATCTCGTCTTTCATGGCAAGCTCCCACTTGCTAGCATCCGTGGTTTGACAAGCTTCCATGTAACTTTCAGGCTCCCCTCCATCAGTCAGCAACATGTAGTCCATGTATCTCCTGTTAGGCACATGGGGCCGAGATGACCTTCTCAATACAGGAGTTGGAGTAGGAGGTTCTGATTGCACATCACTTTCTTCATTTGATTTCTCTGACTGAGGACTCCTCATTATAGGACTGTCTGGGATATCTTCCAGCTCAGCATAAACTGGCCCACTCGCTTCTGAGCTGCTGGCACCTGTATTATGTCGGTCCTTGTACATCACTCTTTCATTAAAGATGACATCTCTGCTGCGGATCATCTTTTTGTTTTCATCATCCCATATGCGGTAGCCAAACTCATCTTCACCATAACCAAGAAAAGTACATTTCTTTGATTTTGGATCAAGTTTGTTTCTACCTTGATCACTGATGTGCACATATGCTACACACCCGAAAACTCTAAGATGTGAGAGTTTTACTTCTTTTCCGCTCCATACCTCTTCTGGTAACTTGTGATCCAATGGTACCGATGGACTTCGGTTGATCAAGTAAGTTGCTGTGTTGACTGCTTCTGCCCAGAACTGCTTTGGTAGGCTTGACTGCACACGCAAGCTTCTGGCTCTTTCAGTCAACGTTCGATTCATACGCTCAGCTACACCATTGTGTTGAGGCGTACCAGGCACGATTCTCTCCATTCTGATCCCGTGCTCATAGCAAAACTTCTTGAATCTGGTTGTTACGTATTCACCACCATTGTCGGATCTGAGCTTCTTGATCTTCAAGCCTGTCTCATTTTCCACCATAGCTTTCCAAATCTTGAAAGCTTCAAATACTTCTGACTTGTGTTTCAGAAAGTAAACCCATACTTTTCTGGAGTGATCATCGATAAAAGTCACGAAGTATTGCTTCCCACCAACGGATGGGACAGTGGTTGGACCCCAAACATCAGAGTGGACGAGCTCAAGCTTCTCCTTCTTTGGAGTTCTTCTACTTGTTTGAAAGCTGACTCTCTTATGTTTTCCAAGTATACAACCTTCACACATGTCAATTTCTATTGACTGGAGGCCTGGTAATTTTCCTTTTGAGTGAATGATCTTCATCCATTTTTCACTCATATGCCCAAGTCTTTGGTGCCATAGATTGGGACTTTCATTTGCTGCAACTGCAATCAGATGACATGCTCCTGTGGTCTTGTAAAGAGTACCACTCTTTTAGCCTCGAGCAATTGTCATCGCACCTTTTGAAATCTTCCAATCATCACCATGGAAGATTGTCGTGTAGCCTTCACTGGCTAGCTGGCCCACGGAGAATAAATTCTTCGTCAGGTCGGGAATATGTCTAACATTTTTCAATTCCCATACAGACCCGCTCAGCTTAATTTTTATTGCACCTTTCCCTACAACCTCACATGATTGCTCATTACCAAGGTAAACTTTACCAAGGTTACCAGGAACATAATTTTCGAGTAGTTCCTTCTGTGAGGTAGCATGAAAGGATGCTCCAGAGTCTAACACCCAAGACTCTTCTCTGTTCTCCAAAGAACATACCAGCATATCTCCTCCTGAGGCTGAAGTAATATTTGCCTCTTCTTTTGCCTCCTGACTCTTCGGTGCACTCTTGCACTGGTTTCTATAGTGCCCGGTCTTCCCACAATTCCAGCACTCGATCGACTTCGAGTTTTGGGAACTACGATGATTTCTGGACTTGGATCTTCTTCCCTTTGATTTGTTGTGTCTGCTTTCTTTGGTTGAACTTCTTCCTCTTGACTCTGTATTCAATACAGAAGAGGTTGATGGTTCACCCGACTCTCTCCGCCGGATCTCTTCACTGAGAACCAAATTTTGGACATCATCAAATCTCAACTTATTGCTTCCCGATGTGCTATTCACAGCCGTGACCGTAGCATTTCAACTTTCTGGTAGGGAAGACAAAAGTATTAAAGCCCGTACTTCATCATCGAACTCGATCTCAACTGAACTCAACTGGGTTGTGACGGTGTTGAGCTCATTGAGATGATGTGCCACCGAAGCACCTTCGGTCATCCGAAGGTTGAACAATCGCCTCATCAAATGAACTTTATTTGAGGCTGATGGTTTCTCGTACATGTTGGAAAGAGCCTTCATGAGGCCTGTTGTCGTCTTTTCTTTTGCAATGTTAAAAGCAACATTACGGGATAACGTCAGCCGAATGGCTCCAAGAGCTTGTCTGTCAAGGAGACTCCATTCTTCCTCCTTCATGTCCTCTGGCTTCTTTCCTGTGAGTGGTTGATACATATTCTTTTGGTACAGATAATCCTCTATCTGCATTTTCCAAAAGCCAAAGTCCGCACCATCGAACTTTTCGATTTTCATTTTTCCTTCGTCTGCAGCCATCACTTCGACTCTGATCTGACTTCTCTGCCGGATCGTTTCTGCAATTTTGTGAACTACCGTGTTTCAAAACACGTCGGTAGATTAATTGTAGCGCCGACAAAATTGGTACTATTCACGTTTTTCAACGGAATAGTAACACCACACAAAAAATATAAAATTAACAATCTGGCTTTGATACCAGTTGTTGGGAAAAATACGCTGAAATTTCCATGAAATCGGATCTATAAAAGTGAAATAAAAAATAAAAATTGGACACGCCAAATTGATAACGGAGTTCGGCCAATAATGCCTACGTCTCCGGACTACTGCAGGTATTTTATTAGAAGAAAAATACACTCGTGTTTACAAAACACTCTCAAACTCACTCACAATTCACAACTCAAAAACACACACAAAGGCTAGATTATTTTTCTAGCTCACTTCTTTTTTCTTCTTGAATATTGTTGTAGTTTTGGTGTTTTGTTCATCTGAATCCCATCTCTATTTATAGAGTGGTAATGCACAATTTTTCAACATGTGCGTACTCCATTTTTCAACAAGATGATGCTTCCTTTTTTTTCTTCCTTGTTGGCTGTCAATGAAAGGGGCTGGGGCTGGGGCTGCTGCCATTCTCAACAAATGTGGGTGCACTTTTTTCAAAGTTGGTGGATTAACAGAATTATGGTCTATTATTGTCATTAATCTTTGAATTGCATTATTTTTTTTTTTTTTTTTTTTTATAAAAGTTTATAAATGGTTTGTGTATAATTTATTTTAAATATTATATTTTTGCAAAAGTTTTTAAAAATTGTCGTAAAATAGTAAACAATGTGAATGTTCACAGGGTTTAGATTTTAGTAAGACTCATGGCCAAATCGTGAAAGACCTCTGAAACATTTTAGGAGGGTGTATTCAGTTATGTTTTCTAAGGACTTTTTAATACTTTAGAAAAGTCTTTGTGTATTCAATTTAGATTTGTTAAGACTTTTAAAAATCCAGAGGTATACAATTGAGATTTTAAAAGGTCTTACAAAATATTGAGTTATTTAATGTATTTAACACTAGGATTTGTTAAGACTTTTTAAAATTTGGTGAGATTTCTAAACAAAAAACTTTATACGATATTCCACTTCAAATCCTACTTCCAGACTTAAGATTTCATAAAATTCCTCTCAAATCTCAAAATTTTAAAAAGTCTCAAATCATAAAAAGTTTTAAAATATCACTTAAAATTCTAATTGAATACACTTGTTATTTTAAGGATTTGACATGACAGGACTTGACGTTTGACGATTCCAAATCCATGACAACGATTTATTAGTTGATGTGTATGAAGGAAATCTCATATGCCAATCATGGCTTCCTAATATGTAAGGGTGTGATTGTTTATAAACTCAAATAGAAAAAAATTAATCATAACTCAAATTTAACTTAACTTTAACCTAACTCCATTATCTTCAATATTATCAATATAATTAAATAATATTGACCATTTATTCTTACACACTACATCAATTTTAATTCATTATTCATCCACTCACATAATTTTAACCAACTATCACTTTCAATCATTTTTCTCTTACTTTTACATCAAATCAAGTTTAATTATTTTATTTCAAGTTAAATTTAACTAACTAACTATACCACATTTTCAAAATTAACTATGATTAACAAAAAAAACCAATCAAAAATTAATTAAATCCATATACAATCACAACATAAGGATTTGAAATTAATGATTTCATGCTCTGTAGGTTATTCTTTTGTTTAAAGTTCTTCCCCCAATGTGAAATAATTTATAGCTTGAAAAGAACTCCATGAATATCATGAAAAACTAAAGAATTTATATACTTTCAAATTAAAATATCATACTCTAAAAAAAGCATTAATAAAACAAGTCATTTGATAGCAGAAACGTGCACTTTTATGCTACGAAAAATATGATGAGCCGAACCAGCCCCACACAAGAATTTGTCAATTAGTTAAGCAAAATCCTTAGAATTTGTCAATTAGTTAAGCAAAATCCTTTGATCGGGTTGTGGTCTTGTGTATGGGGAAATAACAAGCTCTCGATGTAGGGAGTCCATTGAAACCGAAAAGCCTTCACCGACGGCCAAGATTCATCGCCACACGCCACAAATCTCTCCCCATCGTCCGATCGTATCCATACACCCGCATTCCCAAAATCCGGCCAACCAAAAGTCCCCTCAACCGTAATCTCTTTCCATTTCCAAGCAGTGGGCCCACCGCCGACCCTTTCCTTTACCCAAAACCGGCCACTGCCACCATCCAAAAGGTACACACACAAACGGCCGCCCAAACAAACCACATCAAACTCGGCCTCCTCACCCACATTTTCCGGCCGAGGCAGAGTTTTGAGAATTTCTTCACCATCCCTCGAGTCCATGTACACAATCTCCTTGCCCTTCTGTTTAGACCTGCACACGACCCAGTAAACGGCCCCATCTGCGAAAAACCCACCCTTCCGCGACCAGTGGTAACAAATCGGAAAAGTCCTCTTCTCGGACCACGAGCGGGACACGAACGAGTAGACTCCGTAGTGTTGGCCGGAGAGCACCACCACCTTGAAGCCGGACATGGAGGCCGGGTCGTAGAAGATGCCGTGCGTCCTCGGGAGGAAGAGAGGGAAGGGGAGATCCAACTTGGTCTGCTCTCCGGTGGAAGGGTTCCACAGCTTTAAGGACAAAAACGAGCCGCCGGGGAGGAGGACCAAGCCGTCGCAGGCGCATAAGACGTCGGCCTTGCAGTGGGCGGCGGGGGAACCGAGATCCGCCAAAGGTTGGAATTCGCGGCGGCGGGGGTCCGCCCTGAACAAATGGAACGGTAGGGCGTACATTTCGTCGTGGGTCTGCGGCGGATGATCGGCGGAGATGCGCGCGGAGGAATTGGGGATCGGAGGAGATGGCAGCTCACCATGAACGAGACACGGCCTTGAATCGGAGGAGAGACTTGGCGGGTAGATGGGAGAAAATGATTATGATGATCTCGTCTGGAAGGTTCGCCATGGCTGATGACAGTCTATTCGGCTGCGTGTTCTCCATGGCGGCTAGGGCTTGATTTGGGGAAATCCTTTTTGAGGTTTATTATCCAGTTTTTGCATGAATAAATAAATAAATATGGAAAAGAAAAAAGTGACATGTCTTAAATTCTTAATCTAGAGAAGTAAAACTTAGACATGGCCAAAGGGTCGTCTGACCCGCCGACCCGGTCCGGACCCGACTCGGTCAAACTCATTGATCACGGGTTTGGGACCGGCCCGGATTTCAGACAGGCCGTGTAAGGGTCATCCATTTCATGACTCGGACCGAAGGGTCAGGGCCGGGCACGTCGATGACCCTTCTTTTTAATTTTTTTTTTTATATTTTTTTTAAAAAAAGCACGGACTCGACACGAGTATAGGTCCGTACCAGTTCATGGTCAGTGTTTTTGAGCCCGGCAGGCCGGGCCGGGTCGTGACCCTGCTTGGGTTTTGGCCATGTCTAGTAAAACTAATTAATAATACTAGTTAGTATATTATTCGTTAGAAAAATGATCATATTTATTTTAATTGATATTTTATTTTTAAATACTCCAACATACAAATTATAATTTTTTTTTATGTTGACATTGTATTTCTAACATAAATTTATAATGGTACGATAATACATAAAATTATATTTTGCTGAAAAAAAAAAAATATTTTTCTAGGATGCACAGAGTATTATTTTGTAGGATTGCAGTGGAATATTAGAGAAATTTGCGATCAACTGATACTGTGACAAGATAGGAAAACGATGAGTCCATAGAAAGATTTCAGAGAAAGGAGAAAACGAGATAATCTATTACTATATAATAGTACTAAGAAAAAAATCCAAAAATAGGCATGTAAATTCTCGCCCATAATTTTGATTTTTACTAATAATGGAAATATTTTTTGAAATTATTTGGTTTCCCCGCCCATGATTCTTATTCAAATTTTTGATTTTTTTAACAAAATTAAATTCAAACATTTAAAGGAAAAATTATAAGCAGATTTTTTTGGATACATTACATTTTATCTTATCTATATAATCACATTCCTAACAATTAATTAATATAATTTTTTATCCAAGTTATCTAGTCGGGTATTTTAAAATATAATTAATATAATATTTTATTTAATAAATTATTTGATTAGTCTTATGGATATAAATACCAAAATATAAATTATTTTAGAAATTTTTTAAAAAATAAATTTGAATTATCATGCCTTTTACTTTATATGGAATTCAAAATTACATATTTTATATATTAATAAATATTTATTATTTATTTTTTCCTTATGTGATATAATCTAAATTCAGTTCTTATACTTTTTAATTTGAATATTTAAAGAAAAAGATCCTAACCAGATTTTTTGGGTAAATTTCATTTTTGAATATTGATTTTTATATAATCACATTCTTAACAAACTAATTAATATTATATATTTTTATCCACATTATATAACTGGTTTTTTTAAGATATAATTAATATAATATTTTAACCAATTAATCACTTATCTAACCAGATTTATCTCTCTAACAAACTTGCTAATTTTTTTAAAATTAAAATTGTATGATTATTCTTACGGAGATACTTACCATATACTGACATACGTCATATTTACGTGCATTTTGTAGTGATTTCTGTGTCCGTTTTGTCGTAGTTTGATATATAATTAATTATTATTTAATTAATTATTCTTTAATTAATTAATTATTTAATTATTTATATTAAGCTATGACGAAGGTGTTTTATTTGAGTTTTGATAGGAAACAGGTCGAGTTAATTTTTGGAGTCGAAAATGGCGTGAATTGTACATAAAAGTAGTGGGAGCCAAGCATTGGAACAGGCCCAAGTACGTAGCCCCACAAGAGCATCATGACAGCCCATTTTGTTTGGTTTCTTGGGCCGAAGAACCAGCCCATCCTATTCCATAAAATCAGCCCACATGTGCTTTAAGTGAAGGGCAACATCGTAGTTTCGGTGACTAAGATATTGAAGGAGAGAGAAGAGCCATCGTCTTCACTCACGTACATCCGCCATTGTTGAGTTTTGAGCTGCTCGACAAGCTGTCCACTCGCCACCACGTCGCCGGCGAACCACCTGGACTCCATGTCCGCCAATTCTCGACGTCCTCACCACTAAGACGCGACCCGCTATGATGTCGCCGCCCGCCGGAGAAGAAGCTGCTACCATGATGCCGGAAAATGGCCGGAACACGCCATGTCGACGTCATCCGCGGATCATATCTCCGTCCATACCACCTGAAACCACTTTTGACGCCGAGAAATCCAGAGAAGAACTGCTGCTACTCGTCACTTCCGTGCAGGCGGCGGGAGTTGCCGGAAAACGTACGGAGCGCCATCTCCGGCGACCTGGGTCCGACAGAGACGATCGGAATCACTCCTTACGGACCTGAGATGACGTAGAGCACACCAGGAGACGAAAACCGCGACCAAAAGGGAGTTTTAGACGCCCAGTTTCACACGGCTCGTGTGAGCCCGAGACACGGGTCGTGTCGTCCCGATGGGTCGTGAATTGAGCTCTCGACATTGTCACACGACTCGTGTTTCCTATGACACGAGTCGTGTGACCCTGGGTGCGACGTGTACGGATTTTACGCGTTTTTTCTATTTTTTGGGATTTTTCGACCTATTTGGACTAGGACTCGACCTCAACTATATATACAACCCTTGGACATATTTTTGGAGGGTGGGAGACATTTTTTTCATCTTTGGAGACTCTTGGAGGCTAGAAACACGAGCAAGACGAGGGAGAAAGCCGGGAAGAAAAGATCGACGGAGCCGAATAAGCTTTTTCTTTCTTTTTCTTTTTCTTCTTTCGAACTCAATACTTTATATTTATTTTTCTTATTTTGAAAGCATGTTTCTAGGCTAGATTTATTTTAGATTCTAGGATTTGTTAGTACTCGGATTGATTTATGATTTAGTTTTTATTTATTTCATTCCGGTTTATCTTTCGTTTATAAATTTCTTGTGCTTATTATTATTGTGTGAGTAGATGACCACTATGAATGCATATTTGTAATTGATTTGAGACCGAGAGGAGATAATTGATTGCTAGAATTGGGAGATTTATAACGTAAGAGAATAAACAGACCGAGAGGTTGATGGACCTTGCGAGAGAATGAAATCCTAGGAACTTATGGGAGTTAGTTGTTCATCTTGAGACCGAGAGGAGATAGATAACAATTAATATCTACGATTTGACTTGTTCGAGAGAAAGGTTTGAAATCAATTTAGCGATTATCTCTACGATTGGTAAAATTAAATAAGGTTTGTTTGAATATAAACGTTTCATGAATTAATTCCGAGGAAAGCATAACCTAGAATCTACCTTTTGCATCTTATTTTATTTTTATTTGTTTAGATAAATTAGTTTTTAGTTTAATTCTTAGTTTATAATCATCATTCAATTCACTAGTCTAGATAATATTTAATCGTCGTTATTTTATTACTTAATTAATTTAACTACAATTTCTGTGGAATACGACCTTGCTCGCCACTACCTATAGTTACTCCGTACACTTGCGGATAGCGAAAATAATTAGCGAACATATACTAAACATTTAGAAACTTTTAAAAGAAAATGAGTTATCCCTCATTTTACTTTATTTGAAATTCTAAATTAAATAAAAGCGAGAGATAAATTACTTATATAGTACCCTAATTTTACCTCATTTTTCACTCTTATTACCTGAAGTTTTACTTGATCAGTTTTAATATTCAACGTTTCGCCCATTAATCATCTTTTGTCCACACTGTCAACTTTCCTAGAAAATACTAACAGCAACCGTCGAATTTTCATCTCACAACCTCCTTCCACCAGAAAAGCGGCTGAAAGATAAAAAAAAATATCAAAAAAAAAATAGACACGAAAAATGGCATTTCAAATTGAAGGCTCAAAGAACTCAAAATATTAAATCGATTGAGAGGAACTGCAACTCATGAAAAGATGAACAAAATAAAAGCTCACACCTAAAATTTCTCGTGTCACCGAAAGTCGTCAGTTGAAGTATTCGTCCCGCCTCTACGTGTCTCCAATAATCTAACAACTTCATGGACGTTTTTCTAGCTATTGGATGTTTCGATCGACGATTAAGAGATTCAATTGGATCCCCTATAAAAATAGCTTTTCTATACATTTATATTTCATGAAAATCCACAAGTCGGATCTCCATGTGGTAGTCCAAACAAAATTTAATGTACAATAATTTTATTTTTTAAAATTTTGATAATGATTTAACAAAATTTGAGACGTTGTATGATGAAATTAAACATGTCTTTGGTAAGAAGATTGAGTCGAGTGTGTCGAACTAATATATAGTTTTTTAAAATCCGTCACAAGTATATGGGCGACGGGCGGCGACTGACGGTGGTGGCGGGCGGTGGCGAGATGGCTGGAGAAGAAGGTAAAGTTAATTATTTTAATTAACATGATTATAATATTGTATAAAGTCATTGAGTACTAAGACTTTTAATATTTAATAATTATAATATTTTAATAATTAAAACTAATAATCTTAACGATTCCGTAGTTTTTAACAAAAAAGTTGACTGTGTGGACCAAATTTAATTTACGGAGATAATGTTTGATATCACAAAAGCTTTGAATACCAAAAGCGAAGATAATATTATGATTGACTGTTGAAAAAATAGCTAATAAATATTGTATGATAAGGTTATTTGATAAGTCTAATTCAATAAATCAACAGGTTTTTTTGAAAAAGTAACTAGTGTGTATCCCGTGCGATGCACGAAAACAATATTAAATTAACAATATTATAAATAGACCTCGAGTTTGAGTCACTCAATTGTGAAAGTGGAAACTACTATTGATCCTATTTAAGAAGATGAAGAAAAAAATAATTATAAATTAAAGAGGAGGATAAACAATACTTAATAATTATAAATTAAAGATTCGGGGTCAAACAATGTAAATTATTTTGTATAAGAGAATATAAAAAAATTTGATTACACACCATTTAAAAATTATTATTATACTTTTTTGTATGGTTGGCTTATAATATTTGTAAAAATATTAATAATTAGACCGATGAAAATTAGCTTCTTAAAGTAGATAATGGATTTGTATTAGTAATTATGAATTGGTTCTATTTTATTTTATTTTTTCTTTTTAAAGATAATAGATTTCTAGCAGTAATTATGAATTGGTTTCTATTTTATTTTATTTTTTCAAATCTGTATAGATAAGGGATGAGATTTTTTAAACAATGCAATGAGATTTGTAACAGGATAGATAAGCTCGTGTAGATTTATATTAAAAATAGAAAAAAGAAAAACAAATATTTATTGTCAAACAACGGTTTTGATAAACTAAAAAATAGGAAAAAGAGAAACAAATCTTTACACAATTAATGGGCCAATTTTTTTGCTTATTCAGATTTGTTCAACAATTACTATATGTAGAATATATTTAATGATTTTGGCGGGAAAACGTTTCTAATTTGTAAAAAGGTTATTTTTTTTATATAATGATAGATTTAAAAAAGTTTACGAAATAAGTTAAAATTATGAATAGTGTTTGGTAAAATTATTCGATAAGTCAATTGAAATAAAAAATTTTAATAAATAATTTGGAGAAGGTTTTATTAAAAATGTCGGAAAAGCTTATGAAAAAAATATGAATTAAGCTTAAAAGGTTTTATCTTCTAAAAGCATCCAAAAAGCTTTTGAATTAATCTCTAATATTTTTAAAAAAATATTTTTATCATATTAAGTTTAGTTAAATATAAGAAGCTTATTAACTAATTAAAAGCGTAATCCAACTAGAAGAAATCTATATCTATATATAATAACAAGAATAACCATTTACTAAAAATAGTAGTAAAAAATTTAGAAGCATTTAATGCATACAATTTTTTAGAAACTTTTTAAATATATGCATCAATTGCTTCTATATACATGTTTTCAAATCAGATCAAATCAGATACGGTCAAAATATTGTTTCTTTAAGTAGTTTTATTAATACTTGTTCGCTAATTATTTTCGCTATCCGCAAGTGTACGGAGTAGCTATAGGTAGTGGCGAGTAAGGTCGTATTCCACAGAGATTGTAGTTAAATTAATGAAGTATTAAAATAATGACGATTAAATATTATCTAAACTAGTGAATTGAACGATGATTATAAACTAAGAATTAAACTAGAAACTAATTTCTCTAAAAAAAATAAAAATAAAATAAGATACAAAAGATAGATTCTAGGCTAAGCGTTCCTCGGAATTAATTCATGAAACGTTTATATTCAAACAAACCTTATTTAATTTTACCAATCGTAGAGATAATCGCTAAATTGATTTCAAACCTTTCTCTCGAACAAGTCAAATCGTAGATATTAATTGTTATCTATCTCCTCTCGGTCTCAAGATGAACAACTAACTCCCATAAGTTCTTAGGATTTTCGTTCTCTCGCAAGGTCCTATCAACCTCTCGGTCTGTTTATTCTCTTACGTTATAAATCTCTCAATTCTAGCAATCAATTATCTTCTCTCGGTCTCAAATCGATTACAAATATGCATTCATAGTGGTCATCTACTCACACAATAATAATAAGTACAAGAAATTCATAAACGAAAGATAAACCGGAATGAAAGAAATAAAAACTAAATCATAAATCAATTCGAGTACTAACAAATCCTAGAATCTAATATAAATCTAGTCTAGAAACATGATTTCAAAATAGAGAAAATAAATATAAAACATTGAGTTCGAAAGAGGAAAAGAAAAAGAAAGAAAAAGCTTATTCGGCTCCGTCGATCCTTTCTTCCCGGCTTTCTCTCTCGTCTTGCTCGTGTTTCTAGCCTCCAAAAGTCTCCAAAATATGTCCAAGACCCCTCAAATTCGTGCCCGAGTGTCTCTTAAATAGTTGGGTTGAGTCATAGTCGCAATAGATCAAAAATATCATAAAATTCGGAAAAACGCGTCAAACTCGAACAAATCGCGCCTAGGGTCACATGGCTCGTGTCACCGGTCACATGAGTCGTGTGACAATGCCGGGAGCTCAATTAGCGACCCGTCTAAGCGACACGAGCCGTGTCTCGGGCTCAGACGACCCGTGTGTACCTGGGAGTTCAAACCGACACCAGATCGTCATTCTCATCTCGATTCGTGGCTCCTGGAAGAATTTCCGGCATCCCAAGTGTTCAAAAGACGTCCAGGTCGCCGGACATAGCATTTTCCGGCCAGCTCACCCTTAGCCCGGCGTCTTGGTCGTTGAACATGGCAGTTTTGTCCGATGGTCGGGCAGCCACTCAAAGCGTCTTCTCCGGTGACCGTTTCAGGTGGAAGTGGTCGGTCTGAAGTCGAGCAGAACGGTGGCGAGCGGTCTCCGGTCGAAGCTTTGCAGCAGCTTTAACGGCGGACATACATGCTGGTACGTGAAGCGTGAAGAAGAAAATGAATCCACGGAATTACCATCTTGCCCCTCATTTAACTATTGTTTGGGCTGGACTTGACGGGGTGTGAGTGAACCAACAAGACAACTAAACTTGGCCTAATACACAATTCTTATGGGCCATGTACCTGGGCTCGTCCCAGTGCTAGCCTTTGTTCCTTTTTTTGTCCGTTTCTTGCTGTTTTTGTTCCCAAAAATTATTCCGACCCTATTTCCTATCAAAACACAAATAAAACACCTTCGTCATAGCTTAATAATATTAATTAAATAAATAATTAATTAAATAATTAATTATATAATAATTAGTTATATATCAAACTACGACAAAACGGACACGAAAATCACTACAAAATGCACGTAAATATGATGCATGTCAATACCTACAATAATTTTATTGATATCCATTATAATAAATTACAAGATTAAATTTTCCGTGATTCATATTGATAATATTTTAGTCAAGATAAATATTACAACATATTTTATGTTATAACCATAATATTTTTTTTTTCAAAACATTCACTTTTTTATTCAAGAATATATATAGAAACTGTAACAGGTTAGGTAGAATTTTTACTTCAAATTAATCAGGTGAAATCAAGTTGGTGAATTAATCTTTGCAAATATAATTTTTTCTTAAGCTTTATTTCGTTATATATAAAAATAAATTATTCTTTAAATTAATATAATTTATCATTTAAGAGATAATGACCAGATACATTAAACAGTTTTACTAATGGTCAAAAATTAAAATTGAAATATATTAACCGTTCTTTATAATTTATTTTCATATTATTGGCAACCATTATTATTTTTTATATCATTTTTTTATTTTGATTTTTTTCTATAATGAGATTCTTGTAGAATATATTTTCATTGCAGAGTATGCTAAATAAATTATAAATTCTTACAATGTAAATTAAAAAAATCTTGATTATAGAAGAGATTTAGTTTTTGGCATTTGCTAAATCAAATTTGTTTAATTAGTATACAAAATTAAATTCTAAAAATAATGTGTGTAAATTTTTTAAAATATTTATACACTTTTTAATTTTAAATTTATTTACATATTTTAAATTGATTATATAAATAAATAATACTAACGTGTATTAAATATTTTTCATTACATAAAATAAAAAGAAAAAGAAGTCGTACGACTTCTATAACTTTTATAAATAATAATGACATTATATGACAATAAAGTTTATAACAGAATAGTAATTAAGTATTACATGGTGAACAAGAATAAATAAAACGGTTATTTCTCTTCTATCAAGGAATAAATATATATACTAAAATCAAATTTATATTAGCATAAATGTGTGAGTGAGATAATATACTAACTATTTTAAAAGCTAGTCGCATGCTCATATTTAATGTTATGACTAAAGAACCAACGCTAATTAAAACAGATGATAAATAAATTATAACCACATTGCTTTTCAGATTTACCGCTGGTTAGATGATGTAGAAAATATATAATAACTATTGTTTGTTAAACTTAAAAGGGACACAACACAGTTTTGCTTTGTAGTCATCGGATGACTCGACTTATGGAGCTATCCACACTTATTCACCAATAATGTATTGACATGTGTCCGGCAATAAATACATTTTAGATAAGTATAAATACATTAAGTGATGGATGACTGCATAAGAAAACTATGGATGACTCGTAAAATTTTTGGGACACAACATGTTAAAATAGCTCATTCAAAATCTCTAGCACGGATGTACTAGTTTTTCCTAAAAAGCGATATAAAATATACCCTCAGACCTCAGTCCCCTCCCTTAAACTGATTCTAGTGGCGTTTTGCTTTGATGCACCCTGCAAAACACAAATGTCCACTCTGAATTGCCAAAACCCTTGCCTGTTCTTTAAACCCTTTGAATGCTTTGATACACTGATCAGCTGAAGAAGACAAAGTTTATATATATATATATATATATATATATATNTCGGTGGGCAGTCTAATTTTATCGCTTTGTATTACAGTCATATAAATGGCATCCGTCGTTTTATCCAAAGCCCTCTTTGCCCGTCGTGTCCGTCGAAGCTTATTTACATGTTCACCTAGACCATTCTTGCAGAAATCCCAATTATCGCCCTCTGTCGCAGTACGTTGAAAGATTTTCCACTGCTATCGGCTGTTTTGATTTTCTGAGCCTTTAGACTCAGTTTCATCATATAACTCTGTTTCAGACTCCCTTTATCGGGTTAATTAGTATTACTTTATGATGCAATTTATGTTGATTGTGGGCTCGTTCTCTTTGCTGCAAATTTGTGTATGTTTAGCCGATTCTTGATATGTTGTGGACCTGTGGTTTTCTTGTGAAAAGCTTTGCTGGTTGTCAGCTTCGCAAAGTGGATAATGAAGCACATGAAGTAGTGAAATTGCGTGTGTTATAGGTCTCAAGCCTGAATTGAATACTTCGTTTCCTTAAATGTCCTAAATCTTTGAAATTTAGGATCTTTTTTATATTTCCTCAGTGGGTTTTAATTACTATTATGAAGTTAAGCCTCATCACTGCAAATCGCTCTTTGAGTAGAAGTTGTTTACTCGATTATCATCTACATCTTGGAGAGACTCGTCTGATTCATTTAGGAAATCTGATATCCCGTGAAGATTTATGATATATCAAGGGATGTCACATACTTGTGTGTTGGTTGCATCCTAGGGACTTGGAGAATTCATTACATTTACTAAATCTTAGATAATATTTATTTATTTTTATTGCAGAAGAGGCCTTTCCACTTGTGGCCATTTTCCTCCCATTCGGCATATAAAATTGCAAGATGCATTTGCCGTAGCATGTCTTCATCAGCAGTTGCATCACAGGCCTCATACTCTTTGCATTCCTTGTCGATTAATGAGCCTGTTGTCTCAGTTGACTGGCTCCATGCCAATCTCCGAGAGCCCGATGTGAAGGTCTACACCTGTACTTTGGACTGAAAGTCAACCGATTAACTATATTTTCCAAGTCATGTACAATTATTGTAGTTCTCGTGATGCATGAATTGTGTATCTTATCCCTATATGTTCTGCCTCTTTTTATTTTTTGGCTTAATGATGAGATAGATCAGACTGTGTCATATGAGAGTGTTTGTTTGTATGTTATGGTTATTGGTGGATATTAGGATATTTTCTTTTCGTTTTTTGTGGCATTGAAGAACCGGTGTTTTTGCCCTCTGGACACTCGTAATAGTAATAGATAACCATATTGATCTCTTCAATTTTCCATTTCGTTCAAATTTATTTCTCAATTTTACTTGGGATGATTGAGTTTAGTAAAAGCCAGTCTAGATGTACATGAGTAGTCTGATTTTTTATTTATTTATTTATTTATTTTGTATTGGCTTGAAACATCTCCAGGTGCTGGATGCATCATGGTACATGCCCGATGAAAAGAGAAATCCACTTCAAGAGTATCAGGTGTTTGGCACAGCTTCATTACTGATGATATCTGCATTTTCTTGATTGCTAGACCATTATGCTTAATATTCATATTCCAATAATTAACTACACTTTGTAGATAATTGATATTGGTCTGAAATGTCACGTGATGCTCTTTTTTCTTATATAACCCCGTATACACATTTAGTGGTTGATTTATGATTTATTTATATGATTTGCTTGAGACTGATATGTTTCATTCTATTTGTTTGAAAAGGTTGCACACATTCCCGGTACACTTTTCTTTGATGTCGATGGCATAGCAGATCGCACCACAAATGTAAGCAGAAGTCTTCTTCTTGCTTACTAGGAGATAAATTTCCTATTGATGAAACTTATAGGTATAGTATTAGTTTTCTATTTTCTTCTGCTGAAGTAATATAATATTGTTTGTCATCTTTTAAGCAGTTGCCACATATGCTGCCATCAGAAGACGCATTTGCTGCTGCTGTTTCTGCTCTTGGCATTGACAATAAAGATGGCCTTGTGGTTTATGACGGAAAGGGAGTTTTCAGTGCAGCTCGTGTTTGGTGGTGAGTTTTTCGACTTACGCAAATTGAAAACCAAACAATGCTTTTTTTTTTTTTTTTNTTTTTTTTTTTTTTTTTTTCCTACTCGAGACATCTATAGATAATGATTTAATATCTGATTTTAATACAATTAAACAGGATGTTTCGAGTTTTCGGGCACGACAGGATTTGGGTTTTGGATGGAGGGCTCCCGAGATGGCGTGCTTCGGGATATGATGTCGAATCGAGTGCTTCGAGTGATGCTATCTTGAAAGCTAGTGCAGCAAGTGAGGCGATTGAGAAAGTATACCAAGGACAACGGGTATAAGCCACATGTTTTTCGATTTAAATCTCAAGTTTCGCGTAGTTCCCGCTAGTTAGTGATGTAATCGAACCGAACGAGGTGAGCTTGGCGTTTCGAGCTCTTGTTCGAAACGTTCGAACAGTGTGTTCGTGTTCGTTCGTTTATTTTTCGAGCAAAAAAATCGTGTTGGAGCTCGTTCGTTTAATTGTTCGTCGAAATTTGAGTTCGTTCGTGTTCGAATAATTCAGGACGTAATTTTTTTAAATATGTTTGATTAACTCAAAATTCGAACTTGTTCGAACTCGGAAAAAAAAAATAGAATTAAATAAAATTTATTTACATTTTAGATTTTTTTATTAAAATATCATGTAAATATATAAAAAATAAAATTATATTGAATTAATGTTCGCGAACATTGTCGAACGTTCGCGAATGAGCTTGTGTTCGTTCGATTATTAAATGAGCCTAATTTTTTGTTCGAACTCGGCTCGATTAACAAACAAACCAGCTCGAACGAGCTTTTGTTCGCGAACGTTCGTTAACAGCCCTACTTGTGGATGTTTCCAAGAATCGTATTTTTCAAATTTATAGTGTTTTAAGTAAAAACCATTATGCTTGAATTGCTTCATGGATAAACCAAGTACTTGATATTGTGCCGGTTGGACCAATTACTTTCGAAACCCACTTTCAGAAACATCTCGTCTGGTCACTTGAAGAGGTTCTTTTTATTTTATTTTCTTAAATATGATTTTATCTATACATACTTCTTTCTGTTGAATTCTATTCTCTTGATGTATGTGACTGTATAAACTCTTACTCATCCCCTAAAGCTAGCTCCATATTTATACATAATAACAACCCAGTAACTAATCGATGTGAGACAAACATAACTTCTAACGTGAAAAGCTAATATCTATAAGACTATAGGGTAAACACTTTGAGTTTGTCCAACGTACAGAACAAGCTTGAGATGCACTCTTTTCTAGCATTTGTTTGAATCTATGTGACTATAGACTAATGCGATAATGAACTAGATTCTTGCATACAAATCCGTTCTTGTTCAGTTCATTAACAACATATCAACCTATGCATATATTTTAGGATCTNGTACATTTAGGTTATAGTTTCTTTTCTTCTCAGGTTCAGAAAAATATTGAGGAGCAAACACATCAGCATGTTGATGCTCGCTCAAAAGCTAGGTATATGATTTATGACACGTTGTCCTATTAATGGTCTTTAGATTTGAAATATTGTAATTTTGCATTCACAATATTTATTTTACAGATTTGATGGGGTGGCACCGGAGCCTCGAAAAGGAATAAGAAGTGGCCATGTTCCAGGAAGTAAATGTGTCCCCTTTACCCAGGTAGAAGGTTATATATATATACCTGTTATTACAACATATGATTTATCGGAGTTTAGCTTTCAGAAACTGTACTATCTTCTCATTGCAAGTCAGTTAATCACATGAATATTGCTATTTACCTCTTTTCATGCAGATGTTAGATGGCTCACAGACACTCTTGCCAGCTGACGAACTCAAAAAGAAATATGAAGAAGCAGGTTAGAATGTTGCTCTTGTATTTCTATTATCTACATTTTTTTTAGAAAAAAATAAAAAACTAAAAATGCCGGCATGATCAGGCTTCTTTGATATGGTGGATTCAATAT